ATTCGGAGAGAGGTAATTGAGAACACTGATGTGTGCTAAAGGACCTACGCAAGCCGATCTTCTTCACAATGGCAAGGTTGGACCGTGTGAAGAACTTGACTAGACTCGTTGAATGGTATGGCAAGAATGCTCGTCTCCGGGAGCTGGTTCACCTTGTTGTGGTTGGTGGTGATCGGAGGAAGGAGTAGAAAGACTTGGAAGAGCAAGCAGAGATGAATAAGATGTCAGGCCTTATTGATAAAGACAACTTGAATGTGAAGGTGGATTTCTTCTTTCAAGTGCTATTGAGTTCCCTTGCCCTTGGAGGGTGGGCCAGGCAAGAAATGCCATCGGTCAGTCCGAGTGGGAGTCTGTTCCGGTCAAACGGAAGAAAGGCGAGCAAGACAGCGTTAGTGCATTGATGCCCAGAATTCGCTTTGACTGGTATAGAATCAACTCCTAGTCTTAGTTAGCTCTCCTAGCTGCACATTCATAACTATTATATAAGAGTCTGACATCAGTCAATCTGATTTGCACAAGCGGCAATTGAATCAGAATGAAAAGCATTAGCAGGGTTACATTGATTCCTTCACATTCAACAAAAGTAGCAGTCGTAATAGCAATAGGAGTAGCAGGGGAAGTAGAGGAAGCATCCAATTTGACATCCTTAACGGAGGTTTGAAGATACTCGACCAAAGGGAGAGGAGGGCTTGTGAGACTCTACAAACTTTTCGAAGCGAAGTGAAGTCAAAAGTATTGGCGAAGTGAAGGAAAAAAGAGATGTAGTAGTACGAGGATCGATGTAATTGAGTGAAGTAAAGGTAAAGGAAAACGAGATATATACCCAGCTCCTGACGGACCCTTTGTTCGATTCGTGACTTTTTTGACCCAACGAACGAAGCGAAGCGAAGTGAAGTCATAGAATCCTGTGATACTCCAGCATGATGTGACTTATCGGTAAACACCTTCCTAAAGATGACTGGACCTGGCTGCCCCAAGCTTCCTACGTACCCTTCTTCGTTTCGGGATCAAGCCAAACGTAGTTCTAGGCAAAAAAAGCGAGGTCGAAAAAAAATGGAAATAGTGATTCAAGATCTAGATGGATCCCTATCTTTATCTCTATCCACGAAGATACCTATCTATATGGAGAGAGATCTATCTATGAATCGATCGTCACTCAACTTTGTCGACCCTCAACTTCTTCTTGACTTCACTTCGCTTCGTTCTGTTAGTCTCACTTCTTCTCCTCTCCTGGCAACTAAGAGACTGACTTTGTTCTCCTTATGAGCGAGCCGATCTTTATATGTTTTGGCCACGTTCGTTTCCGCTCCGAAGAAGAAGGTTTGGATCTTTCAATCTTATGTCGTGAGGGATGTGACCTATGTTAGGTCCATAAGATACCACAGCTTTTGGTGTTCTATGATTCACCTCCGAATAATGAGTAGGTAGTTCGATTCTTTTTCTTTTTCTCTTCATAGTAAACTGATGGGGGGATGCGGAGCAATAGGTCGAATTACTATATAAAGAAGAGTTGTAAACTATAGGATTTCTTCTTTTTCTTTGAGTAGGAATATTTCGGTTTTTCTCGTTCCTTCTCTTCGATAAGAATAGGGATTTGAAATGATACAAATTCCTCTTCATTCTGTTGTGCTCATCGAAATAACTGCCTAAGCATACTTTTTTGGATCCAAACTTCTTTCTGTCTTCTTCTTGCATAGAAGAACGCAACTGTTGCAAAAACTGGGATTTTAGTAGTAGGCGGCATTCCTTCTTAGTTTTGAGTTTTCGGAACCATTCTGTTTTGGTTCTTCTCCACATTCTGACCGGGCGATCCAGAAATTTTCCTATGAATTTTTCAACTGATATTTCGATATAGAAAGATCTCCTTATTTCTTCATATTTACAAGGGGCATCATTTTCTTGAAAAGATATTATATCACCGTGGGACACTTTAAAATGAATAATGTTTACCATTCTATTATTCACACAAACCCTTCGATGACTTATCGGCTGCCTTGCTTGAGGAATAGTTTCACGAAAATGGAGACGAACCGGAATAACGTCCGATCTTGTTTCTAGATTTTTGAGAAAAGGGATATATGATCGTTTTCTTCTTCTGTGCATCTCTGTGATGGGTAAATCTCCATGAAAAAGGGACAACTTTCGTGTAGTTTGTAATTGAATGTAACTGTTAAGATTTTCTCTCGAATAAATCTTTCTCTTAATAGATCTCTTCTTGTTTCTCAATCTTTGGAGAATGCGGCGTTGTATTATTGTAAGTTCTCTGTTCCAAACATTTCCTGAAAGTAGACGACAAGTTTTAAATCTTAATGCAGGCAAGGGTCGATGTAATTGAGTTGAATCAGTCTTTTTCGCCACATCGCGTATAACGGGAATCGAACCCAACTTTAGAAGCGAAGCGAAGTGAAGTCAGAAGTATTGGCGAAGTGAAGTCATAGAAGCTGTCGGGCGGATGGTGCAATACTTCGACCCAGCGTTAGGAGTGGGGAGCCTTCTTAACCCTCGTACTATGGTCTTTGACTAAACTTCGCTTCGCTTCGTTTGTAGGGGTCGTCAATTACATCGATCCTTTCTTCAGCTGGTGCGCAGGAGCGCACTTTCGTTTTCCCCTTCCCCGTTAAGGGGGTTTTATGAGTAGAGATCTCCCGCCAGCCGTCTTCTCTTCCTATCACTTCACTTCGTTCGAGAAAGATGATCTCCTTTTAGATGTCAAATAAGGCTCAGGGGAAAGAAGGTATGGGTGGTCCGGGAACAACAACGGGAGAGGGCTCGTAGCCCCCCGCTCTCTCTTCCCCAGCCCTCTATTGGTGGGGGAGATGCAGAACTCTTTTTTTTTCAAAAAAGAAATGAATAGATAGAGCCATGATACATTCCGGAATATTGTAAAGGTAAATAGACTCTTTTCGATGTCTGCCTTCTTTTGTCTATGACTTCACTTCGCTTCGTCAATGACTACTTATGACTGAACTTCGCTTCGATATAATTGAGTCTCACTTCTTCTCCTCTCCTGGCAACTAAGAGACTCACTTTGTTCTCCTTGAAGTCCTACCGGGGGCACCCTCTCAATTACATTGACCCTCGTTCGTCGTTTTTCGCTCGTGCATGCCTGTATGAATTGCAGAAGTCATTGTGTTTTTGACGGTTCCGAAGTAGAGAAGTGAACAGTGTGTTAGTATTTAGTTGTTCGAAGCCTTGTTGACAAGACTTACTCAACTCGCTGCTTTCACCTGCTTCCGGTGACAACTACCACTCTCTTATGAATGGGAGGGTAGAGTACCAAGACATGGGGGGTGGCCAGCATAGCTGGTTGATTTAGTACCCTCTATACATATACGTATTTCGTATTCTTTTCATGGCGGCACGAGAGATAAGGAAAACAGAAAAGCTTCTCAGTAGGAATTCGATCAATCGCTATCAATGCCAGGAGGCAGATCAAGATTCATGGGAACGAGAACCTTTTCCGAGAAGAGTAAAGCGAGGGATAGGATAGATGAATAGGTTTAAGGGTGCCTTAATGTGTAGGGGGAATAGTCAGGTCAGTCAGTCTGGCATTATGTGGTGGGTTTTGTTCAGGTTCGAGGCTGAGTGCTTTTGACATTGGCACTTCAGGGAACGAAGTTGAAAAAGGAGTTAGTGCCTGTAGTGTTGTTGCTGCGGTTGTTTGTGTCTCTGGCTTCTTTGATGGGCCTGGTAGCAACCACAGAAGGCTTAGCTACACCGTCTACAAACATGGTCAGTAGATGACCTGCTTCAGGTAGTCCTGGTAAACCGATCTTCGAGGATCTGGATTTGTACTTCTTGTGGCAGATTCCTCGTTTGAGGTTTGAAAGTAGCCTTTTCATTACTGAGATTGGCCTTGTAGTGATTCCCGGGTGGAGGACTCAAGGTCCAGGATTGGAAACCAATTCATCAACTCAGCAGTTTGCCTTTTTAGAAAGGACTTCCTTTGAGGAAAGGAGCAGGGTCAAGGCGATCAACAGAAGGGAGGCTTAGGAGCTAAGAAAGAGTTGGAATAGTTCCCTTCTTGCCTGCAATTTCAAACTTGTAGGCTACTAGAATAGAAGGAACAGAGAACTTACATCGAGACTTCGCCTTCTGGAATCTATCCGTACCCGTATCGTCCAATTCTCTTATTGAGAAAATGGAGTTTGGGCCCTCCTACGACCTCTGTGTACCGACCAAAGATAAGATCTATCATAGAGAAACTGGACTTTCGAGCCAGGTTGTCACCGCCGCTTTCGGCGTTTAGCTGCCTATTGTAGCTCCGATCGACTACTTGATCTCTTTTCATCTCTTTTAGAGAAAGCGCTTTGAATTTGAAGCGGAATAACTGGTCCAACAACAAACCTGTATCAAGCCAAGAAGAACTGAGCTTTAGATCGACGTAAACGCCCGGAAGTTCTTTGAATAGATTGATTGTTACGAGCTATACTCGGCATTCAGGTATCTACTGAAAAAGAAACTTGTTTAAAACTCCCTATAGGTATAGGTGGTAGGGGCCGGGAGATTAAATCTTTGGTTGTGATGAACAAATCTTTCCTGGGAGATATACACTAATAAATCCTCTTTTTTTTCATTTCTTGCGACACCGTTTCTTATACAGTGCGGCTATTCCGAGATGGAATCGGGTGTCTTCTTCTCTGTGGTCGGGCATTAAAGAACCATTACATGATCTACATGATGAGTCTTTTGGCTAGTTGGGGATGGTTCCAATGTCCGTTTTTGGTTGGATCGATGGCTTGGTGCTTCATTGGCTGATCGTATAGGAATTCCGGAGCATAAGCATATAAGGGATCGCTATTCCCAAACTATCTCTGATTATTTCTTTGACAATGCATGGCACTTTCCAGAGGAGTTCATTCTGTATTGTTCAGATATTGTCATTGATATTCTACGTATGACTCGAGCAACAGCGGCTACCGGAGTTTGATTCGTCCACTGAAGGAAAGAAATAGACTGGATTTGACCTTAGCACAGGCGCTAATAATCATTCCAGAACAGGAACTCTAACTCATCAAGAAGAAAGAAGGAGTTTATCCAGAGGTTTCAATAAACTGGCATAGCCCTTTTCTTTATCTTTCTAAAGGAGTCCCCCTATAGGGTGTAGGGTGAAATCCACTTCCTCAGCTCAACTATTTGAATCGACATCAACCTGAAGAAAGGGAGGGGCGGTATAGCAGCATTCGGAGAGGTCTTCCTCAGCACTTCGCGCTAAGGAACCATAGCTTCAGCTTCACGAACAACTGCTAAACGAGAAAATCGACTGGGATAAATTACACTAGTGAGATAGAAAGGTATGCCTTCTAAAGGAGATGAATCAGCAACAGTAGATAGGAGTGCGGATCCGGATAGGGTTATAAGACTAAAAAACTATAGGATAGGTTCTGGGACTAGCCATAGATACCCTTTCCGGTACAGAGGTTACCGGTTAGTCGGCTCGGGAGAAGGAGATAGACAGGCTTACCTACCACCCTTCCCGGGCCTGTTTTCGGGGTTTAGCTTACACCGCCTACCTACCTCGGATGCATTGCAGACTCGCCCTATCCGATATTGTATCCCTTAGCCGTAGGGATACAACATCAGAGGTTGGTTTTAATGCATTCATACTCGTACTGTAAATCGCTTGAATGAATATGAAGCTGTCAACCTTCTTAAACATACGATATTTCGAGTTGAAGACTGACAACGACTTGATTCTCTACTCCACTTGGTTAATCAACTCCTGAGCAACTCTTCCTCATTATTGGGGACAAGGATGCTTCCAACCCAACACTTAACAACCTAATACAAACTGGGCAAAACGATCTAATCCAAACCAATCCTCAGCGAAGGGCCGAGCCGCGGGTAAGCTTTTACTTGGTGCGTAGGCCCCTTTGATCCACATCCACTCGATTGAAATGCTTTGGACTTCTATGACTTCACTTCGCTTCGCTTCTAAAGTTGGGGAGAGAAATTCGAATATTGATAAGCTACAGGGGTGGGCTTAGCATGCTTTAAACCAGAGAGTGAGGCTGGGGAAGGAGCCCCAGTAACCACCGATACGATACAATGAATTGAATAATGGCTCCAAGCACCAAAGTTCCCAAGCTCTTTCCCGCCGAGTGGGCTCCGCACCGACCGGATTGCTTTGCTGAGGAATGGAGTTAGTGGACAGCGAAGGCAGTGTAGTTTTCTTCGCAGGGCTCAAGCTCCGTGGCCTGTTCACAGCCTTGACGGGCCCGATAAGGCAGAGTAAGCCTGACGTATCGTGGATCCGAGATATCAAGTCTGGATCAGATCCCGAGGATTAGAAGTGGTAGCGGAGTGAGTGGGTGAACTTTCAACTAGACTAGAACAGAGCCTGAAGGTCGGCGACCTCTAGAGGATGAGAGGGATGGAGAAGAGGCAGCTCGACGAGGTGACATCGATTTACCAGTGGAAGCCTTACACTTTCGAGGTGGAATTTCAAGTGCTGGACATCCCCGAAACATACAACTTTCTCCTAGGACGTCCGTGGGTTCATTCATAAGGTCTCTCGAGCCTCAAGCCTTCATCAGAAAATCAAATACATCGTTCGGGATCATCTGATAACAGTTCATGCAGAAGAAGACCTGACAGTCCTCCGATCCCCAGCAATTCCTTACATAGACGTGGAGAACGACATAGTCCCTAATGCGTGGAAGGCATTCGAGCTTGTTCAAGCAAATTATGTCGCAGAAGGATCAGTCCCAGCAAGACCCAAGATTTCCGCCAATAGCATGATGGTTGCTAAGGTGATGTTGAACAGTAGTTATACACTCGATTCTGGGTTGGGTCAGAATTTGCAAGGAAGGTTAGAGCCGATACAGGTAAATGACAAGAAGGGCCCCTACGGGTTAGGTTTCAAACCCACCAAGAAGGACAAACGGCAAGTAGCCGCCCAGAAGAGGGAAAATAAGCTTGCCAAGTTAGAAGGAAGAACTCCTGTCAGTAGAGGTCTCGGGAAAATGCCCCCTCTCTCTATCACATTTCCAAAAGCTGCCTTTATACATACCTCAGCCAGAGATTCAGATCTCAGCAGAGGACAAACCAGTTCAAGCTCAGGCACCAGAAAAGAGAAAAGTACAATTGGCCCAAGCAAAGAAGTCCCGTGATCTGAAAGAAGTAATTTACTATGATGAAGTACCTGAGGAGGCAATGGATATTTTCAGAAGCAGAGGTGGCCGCTATCCAGACTCCGTCCACTTCCCAGATCAGTAACACTATTCGCCCTGCAGCTTCAGGGGAAAGGATCCAAAACTGGGGATCACCCCTCTTCCTTGCAAGAGTCGGGGGTAACCAAAACTAAAGGAAACACTAGTCTCAAAATCCTGAATAGTCATGCCTTCGACTAAACAGGTTTGAACTGTGAAGGCATTATCCTATGTAACATATATAGTGTGATGCATTTCATTTCATTCTCATGTTTTGCTAAAATGTGCAGTGTTAAGAACACCTTTCGACCAAAAGAAAACCTGCCTGGTTGGTTGTCCCAATGGCGTCAAATTCCTAGGAGGCCTTATTTTATAGGTAGCCTAGGTGATGAGACAGCTGGCTACCAAGTAGCAGGAGGAAGACTTTGTTGGGAAACCACGGGGGCATATGAGGTGAGTTTAGTGACAGTGGCTGCTACCGCATTGACTTCGGAAGATTTTGATGTGTTAAGGCTAACCAACACTTCTCCCTTCTCCAGAGCGATTGAGTCCAATATTTTCACTCAATCTGCTCAACGAGGAAAGAAGCATCGTCGTCGAGCTGGCGAGAGAGATCCTCTATAATATAAGTCGCTCTACGTAACCCCAATCGGGCTTACAGCTCTCAACTTACATCCATCTTACCATACCAATCTGATAACAGCTCACCAGAAAACCTTCCGGAAAGCCTAACCAGACTGAGAAAGGCATAGGTTTTTTCCTGGAGAGAGGGCGACAAGAATGTGCCGAAACCAGTGACGATTGGTTTTTTGGTTAATCTTACAAGGCTTACTCAAGATCACTAGCTCATCGAAGCAGACCAGAGATCATAGACCTAGTCAAGGAACAAGCCGAGAGAGCTACTGCCCTAACTCACTAACTGGGGAAAAGAAGAACGTCGTCAGCTACGGATCGGGGGAACTCCCTGAATCCCAGAAGTTACGTAACTTCCCTTCCTCCAAGAATTACATCAGGAAGAGCGGATTTTCTCACTTCTGAATTGCACCTTTCCGTCTGCAAACTTCTCCTCATATTACGGAGTAGAGTAAGGGGTACTTCTCCCCCGTACTGAATGCTTCCTTATGAAACTAGGACGCACCAAAGGCAGAGAGAGGAGCAGCTTGACCGGACGAGGCGGGGGATCCCCGCATTTCCAACCTATCGACTTGGCCCGTAGAATAGAATAGTTTCCTGACCCAGCACTCGCACTCTTAGCTACCATTGTCCATAGGGCCTCGCGCCAGAGACTAGATTCTTGCCTTTACTCGTATGGAAGCCTCGCCCCCAAAGACTTAAACTTCGCTTTCAGCCATATACCAAAGAAAAGATAGGCGAAAATCCATCAACCTCTGGGTAACGGGCAGGCCCGGGCTGGCCCTTCGAGTTCAGGTGCGACTTCGTGATGGCAGGAAACTGGCGATCTATGCCTCACCCAGGTTGCTCTAAAATCCTATCCCAGCACCGCTTCACTCGATAGCAAGTGAGGAAGCGAAAGCGAACGAAAGAGAAAGCCCTAACTAACCGAGAATGAAAGAAGGCTTTTTCCGTAGAGGAATGATATAGAAGAGGTCGAGTACGAGTGGAATAGACGAAGCCAGTAAGTAAGGAGGATGCCGGATCTGTAAAGAAGTGACGAAGCTCAGAGCCAAGGATGAATAAAGGTTAGACGCGCCTAGTATAATAAAAAGGAAAGTCCCAAGGTCAATGTAATTTTTAGAAGTTCAGTCATAGAAGAATAGAGCCTGTCTTTCGACGAACTAGTTCAGGTTTACACCAAGGATAGTAAGAACCGGTGTAAGGGAAGTCAAGGATAGATGTAATTTAGAGATTCGCTCTCAAGCAATCAAGAAAGAGGGTAGGTTAGGGCAAAGCATCCGAGGTTCGATGTAATTGACCAAAGTGGGGATGAACCTATGAGGGTCTAACCAGCATCACAATCACAAGGAGCGGATGGCCGCTTAAGTCAAAGGCAGCACGAAGAAAATCCGTCTATAGTTTCGCATGAATTAATTACTTTCGAAAGAAAGGGAGTACGGCGCCTTAGTCTGAAGAAAGTAGTTCATCGTTTAGAACCGCCCAATTTCACATTCGTTCTACAGCCAACAATATTCCCTGAGAAAGCCTTCACTAAAGCATGACTAAACCCAAACTTGGATGACATTATCTTTTTGGGGTTACCCTGAAAAAAGGGAATCCATAGGCTCGTTGAGACCTGGACAGACCGGGCAACTGCGACGACGAAACCCCTTGCTTTAGCTTATCTAAAAGCTTGGGGCGTGTAGCTCCCCATACAAGTAAGAAAGTTAGTGCCGTGTAGCATATGAGATGAGGTGACAAAGTTGGCTCGACTAAAAGGAGAGGAAAGGTGTAATTGAGAGACGAGATCATTCACTTTTTCCAATTGGGTCATGACGCTGCCGGACCCTCTAAAGTTACACTATAATAAAGTCATTCATGAAATTGAAGAGGAAAGGCGCGTGGACATTCTAACGAGTGACGAAGAGCAAGGTTGGAAAAGCGGCCTTCAGTAGGGGCTACAGCAGGGCATGCAGGCGAGCCATGCCGAGGTTTGGCAAGCTGCTGAGCACAGAACCCAGTTGGCTGCGGCCCGTAAGATGCTAGCAGCGGGTTCTACGATGGAGTTTATAAAGCAAGTGACAGGACTGTCTGATCAAGACTTAGAGGGGCTGTCTGACGGAGAGTCGGAATAAAAGGTACCCTCTTTTTTGCCTATCACTCTCCTTTAGAAAGGGATACCTAAATTCTAATGAGCTTAAAAGAGCATTGCATCGGAGGCCCTTTTGCTACCTCATCTTAAGTCCCTGAGGGAGGGATTTCGTCTATGCAAAAGATCTTCCAAACATTGCAGTATAGAAAGACCAATGCCTCTTACTTGATGATCCCGTTCAGTAACAGGCTCGGCTTGAGAAGCAGTCTTTTATAACGGTTGTCTATTATGATCTTCGCATTAATGAGGTCAGGGGCTTTGGTCTTCCTGAGCCCCTGCATTACCTACATTTGTTGCGTACCCAGTATCCCTGGCAGCTACTTCGGTGCCTTAANCGCTGGTGGGCTCAACTTGTAAAATAGTTTTGGCCGTCAACCATCTCTCTAAAAAAGCTTCTTCTGGCCCTATCTCGGCATACTGGGAGGGTACGACTTCAAGTGCTGGACTCGGGAAATTGGCAGTTATTCTCTCGTAGCGACTCCACGCGTTACGCTGCCTTTCTATTTTCTACGAGGTTCCATGTTGTGGAAGCACAGCAGAAAGTTCCTTTCCAGGAAAAAGAGACTGTTTTTTAGTCTCCAGAATATGCACTTGATTCAAATCAAAGGGCAAGAGGGGGATTGAAGAAAGACTGGTTGGGGACGTTTATTACTACCTCAGCGCCTGATAGTAGGAAGAAGAGGCATAGGTCAATTACATCGAACCTCTCCCGCGGTGGTCGAGTAACTTCGCTCCTTAGCTAGTCCCAGCTAGAAGAAGTCAGCTTGCTTGCTTTCCTGGAGAATGGAAACCTATTGGTTCTGCAGAGCTAAGCAATCTTCTACCTATTGAAAATTGTGTACCTTTTTTCTGGTGCATTTTACCCAGAAAGAGGTTCCCGAATACCATCAATATCTACTGGAGGAGCGGCAATAAAGGCGATACTAAATAGAGTCCTCATCTCATTCTAATTGGGGTGATGACCAGAACTGCAGGAAGCTACATACGATAGCCGATAGTCTGATTCGAAGCAAGGAATGTGGAGGGCTCGGTTTGAAGAGTCTGCGGGACATGAACCTAGCCATTTCCAAACCAGTTTCCACTTTCGATCCTCAGGTTGCCACTGCCCCGAACAAAGCATTTGATGGGCTGATGATGTCGAGAATCTTCTGTTTCCAGTCATCTTCCAAGCAATTCTGTCCGGTCCGAATGAAGAGGTTGGCGGCGGGACTGCAGCTACAGCCTTCCATGCGTGCTCAGGTAAGTAAGATAGAAATTCCTCCCGCCTCCATTGTCCATTTTGGTCTACAAATTCTGCCACTTTTGCATTAACACTCTCCTGAGGTATTTGTGTTGTGGTTTCCGACAAAAGAGGTGCTCCGGTCCCTGTCCATACGTCTTTCCAAAACAGAGTTTTTTTCCCATCTCCCAAAATCCACATGATCCCCTTCATGCCTTCCTTCCACACCCCATTGAGTTGCCGCCACAAATGGGAGCTGTTATTTCTCCTAATTCTTCTCGGAACTTCATCTTCCGCAAGTCTATATTTCGCTCTAAGAACATTGCACTCACCTCAATTACATCGACCCAGAGAACTACCTTTTATTTGACCCGTGACTTTGTTTACCCGGTTCGCCGAAAAGGCTACGTCCGGGGGGCCAAAACCAACCCGCGGCAACTAGACCACATGTTCACTCCTTTCTTTTTGATTGGAGTAAGCGCAGGAGCAGCTGTCGATTCTTCTATCACTATCTTATCTATCTTGGAAGCACCCGAATGCCCCATTTTGTCTTTGCCTTCTTGAGATCAGTCTCAAATTTCCCTTAGAGCACAATCACTCCCGAATCGACCTAAAGCAATCTTCCGGGACCCCGGTCCATTTCCCTATCATAGAGATGATTGGCATATTCATTCTACAACCAAACTTCCCTGGCAGAGACGGTAGAACCCAGAAGAACGCTCAGAGACGTTTAAAGTCTTATGTGAAGGGTCATTAAAGAAAACCACCCCACTCCCTGCACAGGGTTGTTCCAGACCCCAAGCAGAGACCAAGTAATCAGTACCATCACTACCTCCACACAGATAACCACCTAAAAGAAGGGGTTCACCTACAGACATTCAAATGCCAGGTCTGGAATCCAAACCGAGAGTCCGTACAAAGTATAAGCACTCCCACATTAGATGGAAGCGTACTTGATTTTCATCAATCCGCTCCATACAGACCGATGCGCCGTTGGTGTGGAATAAGAAGCCTTCGTCACCTAGTCTACTAAGGGGTGTATAGATGCTGCTTGTTATATAGAAATCCTCTAAAGGAGTAGCGAAGCTGGTGAGTTTCCTTTAACTAGTTTAAAAAAAAAGCAAAAGCCACAGGAGCAGCGGGGCGAAGCGCTGAGATCAGGGTTGAAGCGCAACAATTCAATGTCGAAGAGTCACGAGCTCTATCTATGAGAAAGGTCAATGTAATCGAACCTTTTGCTAATCACACGAAGAGAACTGTGCTCGCTTTCAGGGTAAACCCCATCCTTCCTTACCTTATAAAAGTCTCTCTCGTCCCGTATCCCTATCGCCAGCCGTCTCTATTCTACATAAGGGAATGGTTGACCGATCAACACTTTATCTCAATTCATGACATGGGAATCTCGGGAAAGTCACCCTATTCTAAGTCATTCCTCGGCGAAGAATTGCGGGAATCGAGATAGAGATGGCTAGCCCAATCTTTCGTATTACCTCTGCTATGGACAAAGGTTTGGTTTTGTTCAATAAGACAAATGGAACCGGAGACAGAGAGAAGATATAGAAAGAAGGAGTTCGGGACTGATTAAGAGCAGGCTGGCGGGTATTTACTTGGTGCTCTGACCCCCTTACCCTTAATAAAAATGCTTCGGACGCTGACGGCAGGGGGAAAAATCCCCATATTGATAAGCTACTGGGGTGGGCTTAGCGTGCTTTGAACCAGAGAGTGAAAGGCTAGCTTCAGAAGAGAAAGAATCGGTTTGCCTTGAGGCAGAGGGGCAGAGATCGAAATATGGACTATTGGTCGGACCTGTCGGAGACGATGCGGACCTTAATGCGCCCTATCTTCCTATCGCCCTAGATGGATGAGTAAGTCAAAAGATAGGGAGACCTTGACCAAAGAGATTTAGATGCATAGCTGGACGGACCTCCGATTCTGCTTGTTCAGATGCTGCTCACTCGCTGCCTGCGCTTAGCACGGGAAGACTAAATAGAGACCGATGAATCGCATTCTAGGTTCGAACTTCCTTGCTTCCAGCCACTTGGTTCACGATCCAGGAAAGCAAGAATCGAAGCGATCCAAGCACGCTGGGGTTCCTTTGTTTTGAGCAAGCTCTAAATTCTATGTCCTCGTGCTTGAGCCAAGCCTATTTTGAAGCCAGTCGTGGAAGATGTCGCTCTGGTTCTAGAAAGAAGCTATGAAGCGAGAGCCTCTGAACCTATGTTCACTGTGGATGGGCATTAAGGTCCTGTGGCCATTGATAGAAAGAAGTGGTCTTCCGGGCCAATGGTAGAAGCAGTAGAAGCATTGAAAGCAATGTTCCTGGTAGAGAATTGATCTTCTGGACTGGGGAAGCGTACAAAAGCTTTTGAGCGAAATCCGGCCTATACAGATAGAAGTAGAAGGCAGCGATCCTAATGCCCCGATTCTATGTCCTATGGAGAGCGTATGGGCCTCTGAGACAAGGAAGAGCTCCCCTGCGACGAAAGAGTCAACGGAGCAATGGATTATTTGAATCCCGGTTACTTTCTTAATAATAAAGAATGATGACCAAGCGAGAAAACGTAAGCCCTACCCTTGCTGGCAGAACTATCAAGCATGGATGCCCAAGAACCTCATTCGAGTGATGAAATCTCTCATAAGCAGACTAGGGAAATAGGCTAAAAGGGAAGGGGGCATCTAGAGGACCTGTTTTAGACTGGTCATAACCGAACCGTTAGGGGTATACGAGACTGGTTCATTAACCCTGACCATGGACTGAGACCGTTGGGAAGGAAAGGCGTGGGAAGGGAAAAGATGCCAATTCATCCACTAATCTACAAAAGAAGTAGAAAGACTCAAGGGAAGGGGCAGGCAGAACTGATTATAGCCTTCGTGCTCCGTTAGCCTATGGCAAGTCAGCTACAACACCAAGAAACTCTCGCTAAGAAATGAGCCTACCGAGAGAAGGCGATAGTTATTTCCGCTAGCTGTTCTGAGAATGAAGAGAAGAGGTTTCCTTAGCTAGCTTTCGAGTTGGTTTAAGGCTTCCTCTTCCGGGAATGAGCTGTTGTAAGGCCTTGCCTTTCTCGAAAGCGAAACCTTTAATTTAAGCGAATCCGATGCATTTGAAGAAAGATTGAGTTCTAGATGATATAGCTGATCTCTGTCAGGTCAAGATCGAGGCAAGATGTAATCTTGTTACAGAGGCGGGTAGAAGAAAGAAAACATGCCAAAACGCAGCAAGTTAGGGGATAGCAGGAGAAAGAATGACCGGTTCGAAGAGGTAGGTGAGCAGGAGCTTCACTTTCAGTTTCTGAGTTGCTAGCTTGAAGTCATTTAGGTGAAGTGAGCCTAAACTCTGCTTTGGGAACTTCAATCTTCCTTTCAGAAGAGAAAGCAGACTTAGAAGACTCGGTTTTCTTTTAGGATTCCCCATTGAAGGTAAAGATGGGATCATCGCAATTCGCAGATGATGGATTGGAATCTATGATCCGTCAGTTGGTTCATGTGTGACTAGATAAACCAGTCGCTCCCATGATATGTGGTTCGCATTTCCATTGCGAAGTTACAGCCGTCAATGTCTGATACATTTTTGGTCTTTTTTAGGAAGGCCGACCACTACATAAAACGCCATCAGTCCAGGAGAGAAGCAAGCTACCTTTCTTTGATCCACCTTCCCGGGCAGGGAAGAGAACGAAAATAGGCCGCGTATGGTGGTCGTGGTAGGTTCGAGGATCTTACGCTAAGGAGCGAACTCTTCTATCGTCTTGCATTTCCTCTGGCAGCTACGCAGCACCCCCTCGATCCATCGTACTGGAGCGATCCGATAAAAAGGATTAGGATCAATTTACTTCTACAATGCTCATAGACGAAGTGCTTCGTTTCAGATCAATTCTTCATTGCAATCGCTTTGATCCGGTGAAAAAGCGTAATACGCCCTGAGGAATGGATACCAGCGGACTTCCCTGTACTCAAAGTGAATTGTCGTTGTGCTCTCCCCTCTTGGCTTTGTCTCATTGTTTATCTCGTAATTATACGATTCCGTTCGAATTAGCAATTACTCCTTCGACTCCCGAATCCTTTTGAAATAACATTATCGGTCCGGTAGGAAAGAAACCTGTAACCAGTGACTAGTCTCCTTATGGAGCTACGTGTACACCGCCACGTCGAGACTCTCTTTCGAAAGTGAGATCACCACAGGCTTGTTGAAAGATCACTCCTAAAAGGAGCCATGATCTTATATACGAGACCACCAGACGAATATACGTTAGGACCAAACTCAACTGATTCAAAAAAGTCTTCGAACCGGTTGTCGACTTTGTCCGCTTCTGCGGGCCTCTTGCACTCTGGGAGTTGCAATTCTTCAGAGCATCATTGAAGATTTTGCGTACTTTCTCGGAAGGAGTCCTTTTTTCTATATTCAATTCGTACTTTGCGAAGCGAAAGCAATCAAGGTGACAGGATTCGAACCTATGGCCCTCTGTACCCAAAACAGATGCGCTGACCAGACTGCGCTACACCTCGTCTCGACACCCCCGAGCATATAGATCCACCCGATCGATGAAGACTCAAACCGAACTCGCCCATCCTTTTTGGCACAGGTTCGATGTAATTGAGGAAGAATCAACCGCTTTTTTTATCAAATCTGCCTCCAGCAAGACAAGATAGGGGGACGCCAGCCGTATAGTGCAGGAGCGCTCACATTTGATTTTGGCTTACTCTTTCACTGAACTTTCATTTTAAAATCCGGCTTGCTCCCGGCTACGTGTGCTTTGGACCCTTCGCCCGCTTAGAAGTGGATTCGAACCACTGACACAAGGATTTTCAGTCCTTTGCTCTAACCAGCTGAGCTACCTGAACCACTTTCCTAAATAATTTCTGTTTTCTTCAGAGAATAGCGCCCTACCTTACCACTTAACGGGGAAGGGAAAAGCGCTTGACTTATACTAATAAGATAGTCTAATAATAACTAGGCTTTTTCGCTTGTTCGTCAAGCTTTCGAGCAGCTCTTTCAACTGCCGCCTAATCCCCCAACATGCTCAAGAACCGAGAGCCCCCACTACGCGGTAAGGGACTGGACGGCCGGAGGGAGCTTGCAACTAGAAAGAAGATAGGCCGGTCAAAGAAAAACAAGGCTCGATAGTTTTGACCTAGTCACTAAGTAGTGCTATTCGGGGGACTGGACTCCACCAAGAGCTGCCAAAGCACTTCGCCCGCCCCTTTCACCGGAGGAAATGGGATTCGAACCCATGATACAATCTTCTTGTATGTCGATTTAGCAAACCAATGCCTTAAGCCACTCAGCCATACCTCCAAGTTCTTGATCTCCATTACATTGGATGTGCCGGGTTTGCTTGCTTGACCGAAGGGCTATCTGATCCGATCAACTGCCTAAGCCGTAGGTCGATAGCGCGCCTACTCTTCTTCTATGAGCGAGACTCTATCTCTCTTCTGCAAGCATCCTTGGTCGACGCCTTCTTTTCTATGAAGAGCCCACCACTGAATGATGAACTTTCCACGCCTCCGACCCGAGAAAAGACACGGTCAAGCCAAGCCCTTACCCGCCTGAATGGAATGAATATCTCCTTTGTCTGGTCGAGAAGGGAGAAAGCCCGGAGAACCATGCTTCCTTAGCAAGTTTACTAAGTTGAAGGAATTTCTCGTTGATTGCACGAGTTAGCCAGCAAACCCCCCTGACTCAACCTCAACATCTAGAAAAAGAAAAAAAGCCCTTTCGGAAAGATTGAAGTTCTTGGTAAGCATCCAGCTCTCGATCCAGAACTACTCCTTCAAGAATGAACTGAGCTCAGGAAGTCAGGTTAAGACGTCGACTTATACAGGGGAGATGAAAAATCATTCCTGTCTTTATCAGTCAATCCCACTAAACTACACTTGTACGCTTGACATTCAAAGTAGAGGCAAGCTACTAAAAAGTCCCAGCCCTAACTAGCTTCGGGGAAGAGCCATGCCAATCCAAGGAGAGCAAAAATGCGCCCACTCTACCTTTCTTTCTTTATCTTAGACTTCGTTCTTCAAGGAGACCTATGTGCATTTCCTCTCTTCTGTGCTCTTTCTTCCCTTGTGCCTTTAGTTTAAGTATAGGTATCTATCTTGATGGAACGAACGAAGCGAAGCGAAGTGAAGTCATAGAAAGTAGGTAGGGACCAGACTATAGAGCCTAATGAAAAAGAATTCGGGCTTGCTTTCTCAATTCACATCTATGAGCGATGATTCTTCTATCTCTTGCTCGCTTCGATCGGACTCTGACAGCTTAGGGAAGAATGATGGGTCGCTAACAAGGCCTCTAAATGACCGCTCAGAAAAGGCCTACCTATTTTTTCCCAATCTGTCACTTGCTCGTCCCTCTCTCATTCAAATTCTCTCTCCTCTCTCGGCACTCATGTCTATAGCCAGTTGCTAAGACGATTCCCATTCAAGCATTCTCATTCAACGATCTATCAATGTCTTTCTTTTTTTTTTTTCACTTTCTACTAGTTCTTACATAAGCAATTTGCAGGAAGTAAACGAAGTCTTTCCTTCCGAAATCCACTCCTGAAGTCACGTCTTTCAGTACTGGGACTGAAGTCAAGTACTTTCGAGTTGCTCTAAGACCAAAGCCTTAGAAATGAAATACCAACTATAAATAGCTTTAGCATCTCTTGATAAGAAAAGTTATAGAGCTAAGGGTCAGGTCAGCCTATCAAAAAGTCAGCGCGTATGTTGCCAGTCTTTGACTGACTTTGTGGCTAGCTTTACTCTCTTAAAGGCAAAAGGCAGAGTTACGTGCCCCATTTTGGTGCTACCGGCCCACATCTGGACAGGAAATGAGCGTCATGCTGGTTCCGTCGAGATGGAAAAATTCGGGTGAGTACACCCCGGCTTGTGCCAAAAGTGAGTTCTCTTGTTTTTCTTTGGCAGCCTGTCCCTAAGGAGTGCTTTCGTCACGCAGTAGTTGTATAAGTCTCTCACACAGTATCAATGAGGCTCGATATAATTGACCTACTGGAATCTTCCCTCCCACTGTAAAGTTCATCAAAGGCTACCCGTTCGTAAGCATTCCCAAAGCTTCCTTCACTCCAAGGTCGATGAAATTGAGTTGAGCTTGATCAAAGATTCTCCTTCAACAATTCTTTTCTTTATCTTTAAAACCCCAACTTCAAAAAGGCATTTTCGGGGACTAGCCTCCTTCCTACTCGTCCAATAAAGCCATAACCATTCTCGTCTCTCATGAATCAAAAAATCCGCTCCCGATAGAAAAAAAGAATGTTATGGCCCCTTTTGGGGAAGCTCGTCGTCTGGCTGAAGACTAACTTCGCCGCCGGAGATGCGCCCGGAGGTTCGGGGGTCCTCTGTCCTAAGACGGGCTTTATCTTAAGCCTCACCCTACTCTTTTCTTTCATTTCAGCTTAAGCTTTCGCGGTTTCTGCGATTAATTGATTGGATACCCGAGAAGCATAATCTTTCCTATCAACAGCTTCTACGACGATAGGCATAAAGGCATGATTAGTTCCACAAATCTCACTGCACTGACCATAGTAAACTCCTTCTCGTTGTACCGAAATAGAGGTCTGATTTAAACGACCAGGTACAGCATCACATTTGACACCTAAGGAAGGTACAGCCCAACTATGAGGTACATCAGCAGATGTTACAATAATACGTAAATGAGGCCGGTACAACCACTCTATTGTCCACTTCTAATAAACGTGACTGACCCAATTCTGGCTCATCTTCTGGAATCGTATAACTGTCAAAAGTGAGTGACTGTTCATCGGAACTGTTATAGTCCGAATACTCATAAGGTTGGGTCGACGCCCGCCTCCCCCCAAACTGTACTTGCAAGTTTCCCCGCAAAAAGCTCTCCACGCCTAGCCTACTCTTAGAAAGAACACTCTTTTTCTTTAATTAGGTAGTTCTCCCGACCGTAAGACCCTTTATGAGATGAGTAAGGGTAATCGAAGGCCGGTTTATTGGCAACAGGGAACCCTTTTCTTTCTCACCCAGCCAGCCCTACCTACCCTATGTATTCGAGGGGGAGGCTGGAACCGAAAAAGACCTGGTTTGGTTCCACACATATCAGACAGAAGGTATGGGACAACCAGTTCACCACGGAAAGCGTCTTCGATCCTGTAGTCGTCTTCTTTGTTCGAAAAATGCGCAGTGGAAAGGGATGCTAGTCGGCTCGGTGAAGTTGTAGGCCAATAAATTAGATCCAGAGTGATTCTTCACCTATCCTGTCTTTAGATAATGGTGCCAAGAAGGAGAAGGGTAAGCAGCAAAGACTTCATATACCAAGACCAAAAGACGAATACCCACCAAAGCAATCAGACCAGACCCTTCTTCTCATTAAATAAAGCAAAGGTTTGAAGATGCTCGACGTTGCCAGGAGAGGATACTAGAAGCGAAGCGAAGTGAAGGAAAAAAGAGATGTAGTAGTACGAGGGAAGGTGTAATTGAGAGACTTTCACTTGATAGGACAGCGAACTCTCCAAAAAGAGGAGAAAGTGCAGTAAATCGATATCTGAGCTCTTTCTTGAGGGCACAGGCTTTTGAGGGTTCTAGCCTAGAAGGGATAAGTGGGAATCCGTGTCGCGGAGGAATTGGACCTTCTGGGATAATATCAGATTGGGGGGAAAGACATTCTTCTTGGTTCGATCATGAGACTTTTAGTCCGGTTTAGGACTGGCCGATCTTTCATTCTCATGTCGATTTCACCAATTGTCGGATTATCTATGATTGGAGGCAATACTGCTTTTGCAAAATCCTCAAAAATTCTTGGGATCGAAGAGGTCAATTTCATCGAGCCTCAAATGAAGAGTGATGAGTCTTTGAGAGAGCTCCGGAAATTTTCTTCTCTATGACTTCACTTCGCTTCGCTTCGTTCGGTGGGTCTATTCCCTTCTTTCATCAACTCCTTTCTTTTAAAATCCTGATGAAGGGTGAGAACTTTCTTCAAATCTCGATCACCTAAGTTGTACGCAATCCTTGGATAAACATTAAAAGCGAGTTTTCCAGCGTAGAAATTTCCTCTAACTCCTCCAAGACATGAGTCTCGCAGGTTGGAAATTCTCTTATCTTTGATTTCCAGATTAAAAGCAGAAACTTAACCTTCCTATACTTTATAGGCTCTTTCAGGATGTTTAAAGGAAGCTCAAAGCACTCTGCGTCCTTGGCCCAGCGGCGGCTTAGCTCCTATTTTTCAGTCCCTTATCTCGGTTCTTGAGCATGTTGGGGGATTAGGCGGCAGTTGAAAGAGCTTGCAACTTAGCATGTGTACCAGCCCTATTGTCCTAGGAATTACAGGAAGGGGAGTGCGAGCAGATAGTAAGGAAGGAATGCCCGAATGGGTGAACAAGCGAATCTATCCAGCCAACGTCGAAGCTTAGCTTAGAAAGAAATAAGCTTGACTATATATGCAATTATTTAATCTGCTCTCCCGCCCTTCCTATGCGATTCTTTCTTTTGCCTAGAAAAATGACTTCCGTCGACGTGAAGGGAAAGGCAAATCCAAGGCTCGATGTAATTGACCTTCCTTGCTCAAGCAATGGAACTCTAGTGAGGGGGACGTTCTCAAGAAAGAAGAGAAGGTGATGAAATCTCTTCGACGTCTTCCATAGGGAAGTATCTCGGTGCTCCAATGATTCACCCGTTGGCCTTGAAAAATCTCAAAAGACATAAGCCCTTATATTATTATGAAAAGAAAAAGAAGGTTCGCCTTGTATAAATATAGGCTAGCTTTCGTCAATTTCATCGAACCTCTCCTTCCTAAAAGAATGGGCTTTTCACTTCGCTATGAAACCTTTAGCTTATCTGATGAGGAAGTTTAATCCCTACCCAACGAACGAAGCGAAGCGCAGTGAAGTCAAGGTCAATTGAATCTCAATCCTCTTCTTAGCAATCAGATGTGACTTTGCCAGGGACTTCTTTCCATTCTTCCTTCCGCGATATAGGACTCAGTTCCGCTTATTCTATTCCAGATAGGGATTGACCAGCCAATATGCCGGTCGGAGTTCCAAGCGTAGTTCCTTCCTTCCGTTAAGGAGCTGGTCCGACCCTAAACTAATCAATCGATACATGAAAACCACGTCAAAATGGGCATCAAGTTCTTTCCTTCCAAAAGGCTCGATGTAATTGACCTCTTTCTTACTTACTAGCCCTCCCTCCATTCTTACCGATTCCCTTTCTAAGTTTAAATAAGTTGAAACTAGAAGGGGATTGTCAGTCAGATCTCTTTGTCCTCTTTCTTTCCTAAGTTTTTTAGGCATCTTCCGTTTTTCCTCAAACAAAGGCAAGGAAGAAGCTATAGATTGAGACTGGCTGACTTGCTCTGTAACCTTTGACCCCAGCCCTTAGCACTTGTTAAGCTCGCTCACTCTTCGATGCTTGCTTTCACTTCAGAGGCTTAGCAAAGCCCTGGCTTTGGAAGGGCAATCCATTTCTCTTCGAATACTGGATTCTACTTTGCACTGATGTAGATTGGCCGAGGTTCATCTTCGGTGCCGAGGTTGACTTCTTTCAACTTATCCTGAACTTCGACTGGATCATCATCCAACTTTCGAAAAAAGAGAATCTTAATATCGAAAGTTTTTGGTAGGATCTTTATCCTCATCTTCATATATGATATATGCACTCAGCTGACCCTACTTGATGCGTCCGGATTAGAGCCCGGATCTTCTTGATGCATTCTTTCTATTTATGGCTCTTCCCCATCATCATCTTGTGGTATAATAATGGAACGGCCTTTGCTTTGCCCCATCCCCCTTTACTACTCATCCAGTTCCTCGTGGACCAGACGCAGACAAGGATGAAGATAGGAGTGAGAAGGCAGTTTCTACTTTTCTTCCCTGTTCTGATATTAAGGCATCCGCCGGGGAATAATTGTTAGCACCTGGGAAAAGATCTTCTAGAGCTCGGATAGAACTCTTAGGAAAAGAAAGCATTTCCGGTCAAGGGAATCACCGGAGAATTTCTGAATAGGGCTTTCTACTAAGAATCTTTTTGCTCCGTGGGGGAAGTCAGTCCACCCAATTCTTTTTCCCTAGGCTCAGAAAAATCACTTATTTCTGTTATATAATAAATATATATATTATTATGATATATATTTGCGGTCTTTTATCAAACGAGAGCTTTTTTTCGATCAAAGAGAAAAGATCCGATTCGGGATCGATAGCACTGTGAACAGTGAAAACTTCCTTCGCCTGCTAACAACCAAGGACAGAGACTGCCTTACTTGACTGGCCCACTACGCAACTATCTATAAACCATAAAGAGAAAGCATTGGTACCGTACTGGCTAGCCCTACATGCTAGGACTGATTGGGATGACTCACTGATTGGCTTGCTTGCTTTCCCGCACCGACCGCCTTGGACAGACGCTCCTTGGACTGCTGCCCTTGGGAACGGGTTTGGGCATACTCTCTCTGTGCTGGACCTCTAACCCTCAACAAGACTTCCCCCGGGGGCTAAGAGAAGGAAGTTGAAACTCAGTCGACCATAGGCTTGTCACCGAGAATGTGGAAGAATGGCTCACTTGTGACAGTAAGGGAGAAGCACTAATGGTTTACCAATACGGAGATGGTGGGATCATTCTATTCTCAAGATCTACCCTAGCCCCGGAGTCCATCTTCGTCCCTTTCAATCTCAACGCCCGGGCAGACCAGTGAAGCTGTTAGTCAGAGACCAGGCGATAGAGACCATATCCCTGTATCAGTCGTCTTTGGAAAGAATTGTCTTTGCCACTTAAGTGTTTTTATCTTTCCTGGCGTGTGCAACAACTCCTCTTATTGGCTAGACATCTGGTCATGCACATCACAAGTAGACACAACTGAATCTCTTATTCGCCTTCGCCTTCCAAGGGCTATTTTTTTAGTCTTCCGGGACCTCTCAGGCTAAAGTTCATACAATTTGAGCGAGAAGCTGGTACTTTATTTTTTTTTTAAAACCCGAAACTTGAAAATCCAATATACTAACAATATAGGCTGGCACAGTTTTGTAAATAAGAGATGTCGCAATCAGTCTTTCTCGTCCTGGTAGCAGTACGAATAGGTCAAAACTATCGAGCCTTTATCATGCGCCAAAGACAGGTTTCAGTTCCATCTTCTACAAATGCTTGAATTGAGTATGGTGGTCTTTATATACGAATATTCTTGTTTACCCACTCTGACCCAGTCGATATATGAAAGTAAGGCGTGGGCACGTTGGAATGATCCCGCTTTTCAAGCTCAACCTCGAGAGATTTTCGCCGGTCCAGTGACTTGGCATACAAAGGTTCGATATAATTGACCTCTATGTGGTGCACTCCCGCTTCTTCATACCCGGAAGAAGTTTGAGCTGCTCCCAGGGACAGCTTTTGCTGCCGGATGAAGGTCTTACGTCGGCTAAGAAGACGGAAAATTCCATTTCGGTCCTGGAGATCGGGGAAATAAGAGTTCGCCCTCCCGGGGGTGCTCGCAAAGTCAAAGTCAAAAAAATTCGATTCTTTCCTCTATGACTTCACTTCGCTTCGCTTCTCCAATCAAGAATAGAAGGGATCGCTACCGGTCATAGTTTTGATCCTTGCAAATTAGTCATTCCCCCGATTGGCTCTCTACCGCCTGTGTCTATCTCTTGTTTGCCCAAAGGTGTACTTCGTCTCGAGGAGATTCCTCGAACGTTCCAACTTCAAATGAGGAATGCTCATCCAAGACTGACGGGCAGGATTCGAACCACCTGTGCCACCTGTCTTGGAAACCGATGACAGTAGCTCCTGCTTATGGGAAGACATGGGAGTCCACGTGGGCTCTTTGACTTCACTGCGCTCAAGCAAATCTAGCTTTCTACAAAAAAAGTGATGCGAGAACGTATTCTCTTATGTCATTTCCCTCCTTCCGAGAATTGAATTGATCAAGCACGAAAACCTCGTTCAACCAAAAGGAGTGCGTTCTACCCTGACCCGAAGGCTATCTGAGCCAGCAACTAAGGGCAAGCACCTATGAAAAGCATCGAAAAGGTAAGGACGTTGTATAAATAAGGGCACTCTCTCAATTACACCAGGACTGAAAAAAGCTTCTAAAGATGCAATTGACCCTCTCGCTTTATCCTAATAAGAAAAGGGGTCCCATCCCGTCCTGAACTAGAACGCGAACTCGAACAATTGGCTTGACTGACGCTACATAGCTCATTTAATAGACACCGACCTAACGGCCAGCTGGAATTCGGCCATTTATGTCCACTTCCTTATAGGCACCTTTATAAGGCTTTGGAACGGCCTTTGAACTTACTTCGCCTGGACATTGACCATTCTTTAAACCGGCCGAAGAGCTTTAGCAAAGAGTCTCTTGGATAGAGCGGAGAGAGCTCGTTGGGGGAGTCAAAGAGTCCGTCCTGAAGTCCTAAAGAGCATAGCAGATAGAACAGAAGCTATCGAATCAGACCATATGGTGCTTGATCAGCCACAACACAAAAGGGGGAAGCAAAAGGTTCGATGTAATTGTCTCGACCATAAGAACGAAGCGCAGTGAAGTCAGAAGTATTGGCGAAGCGAAGTCAACTCTTTCTTTTTTCTCGCTGTCCCAAGACCAGAAAAGAACTCTGTACCAGAGATAGCCTTCTTCCTTGCCTAGTCTTCTTTCTAAGGTGCTTCTAGTTCATTTTGCACAAAGGAAAGTGGAAAGGGGACAGACCACTTTTCCCTTAACTATGAGGGGGAGGAGGCCTGGTCATCCTCCCCGGGTGGGTGAACGGTAAAGAAAAATGACTGAGGTAATATGAAAAATCTAGGAATTCTCACTGCCCCGCCTACTTTCCTTCCAGGCTTAGGGCAGGGAACTTCAAGGCAAAGGCCATCTGATCTTCCCAAGTCCATGGAAAGAATAAAGGAAATAAGCCCGCATACTTTTGCTCTGTGGAGAAGGAACCCCTTCAAAACTGATCATAGCCAGCACCCCGGATGTAGAATAATTCAACTTCCAGGAACTATATTCATAACTGCAATCAGTGCGGAAGGAACCCCGCCGGTAGCAATCATATTTTCTCCCGCTGAGTGAAAAATTCTTTGCCTCTCATCCAATCCTAGAAATTAATGTTCTTCCTACGCGAATAAGACGTCAGGATTGGATCGATGGAAGGCCAAATCCAATTCTTTATTAGAAAGCCTCAAACTCGTCAGCAAAGATGAGGGCCCGCTCGAATTAGAGGAAAAAGGGGATATGGTCCTTTAATCTTCTTTCCTCTCTTCCTTAGTCATTCACGATCGACCCAGTTCCCGTTCTTTTCCGGTGCACTCGCTTTAGATCTCCGACACAGAAGGAAGGACCTCTATAGTAAGTAAATAAAGGTTAATTTAATTACATCAAGCCTGGCTCAGGATGAACGCTGGCGGCATGCTTAAATGGCCTTTGGCGAGATAGAAATTTGAGCCCCCGGCCATATGAAAGATGAGTCGAAGGATACTCATTCAAAAGTCAAGTATGCCAGAACTCGTAGCCTTGTTTAGGAGTTTGTGCTTGAACGAGCGATACAAGCCGAAAAGAAGGGACTCAAGCATTTGATCAATGAAGGGTAATGGAAAATGGTCTTTTCTAGTGGCAGAATTCCATTTGAGAAAATCGTCGCCCAACCGACCTTGCAGACACGCCTCTTTGGCCGGGGAAAGTATGGAAAACTCCTAAAGAGGCCTCGGATATTAATCAGGCAAATAGAAAGAGAACCATTCCCCGTGCATTGTGCCTCCCTTTCTAAACTTATGTTGGGATTTGGACAAGTTATACCTACTTCATTGCTTGCGTCGTTCAGGTTCTTATGCGAGGGCTTTGGTCTCTTTCCTTCTTTTGAAGAAGAGGTCAATTGCACCTTCCCGAATTTATATGACTTCACTTCGCTTCGTTCTTTGAGTCTCACTTTGCTCTCCTGACTATTCAGTTGAAATGAGAGGTGGTTCAACGGGAGAGGATAGGAATTTCTTCACTTATGATGAGTCAGTTCCTTTTGGCTTCCTTGCCTGCTGCTTTCGTTACTGGCTCCTTTCTCAATTACATCGACCCTTGTCGTCATAGAAAGAGCTTTCACTCAACGGCAACTCAATGTAATCGACCCAACAAACTTTTCGAAGCGAAGTTCAGTCATAAAAAAGGCATGTGGGCCAGACTGAACAATCCTTGGGCTAGAAAGACTGAAGAAATGAAAGAACTTAGTGGAACCGTAGTAGAAGGAAGAGTAAGCACGGGTAGGCTATCTTCTGTCTAGCGGGACTATTCGCCGAAACTATTCCCCTTTACTAAATATAGCCTAACCTGCTAGGAAGCTTACCCGAAAGTAGAAGGTAGCCAACTCCATCATAGAACGAGCTTTCCACAACCCCTTCGAGACGTGCCCTTTACTAGTCTTGGGTGAATAGAGATTTCCTTTCTTCAAGAAGAGGAGAGCAAAGTGAGTCTCGACCAAAGGGAGAGGAAAGGTGTAATTGAGTGATTGAGAAGTAAACTACGAAAGAACTTGCTTGATCTAAGCGAGAAGCCGGATGGCAGCAGTCGAGTTCTTTCTTGGTTTTCCAGCTTTTTTGTGCACAAAAGGAAAGGAGAGGTCAATTACATCTTTAGAAGTGAAGTCATAGAAGTCGACTGCATTTTCTCATCTTATACCAAAGGCGTGAACCTCTTCATTCATTCCTTCTACCTAAAGCTTGGTGAGCTAGGTTTAGTGACTGGGGCGGACTTCTATTCTATCTCTTCCTTACTCGCCTTTCAGGAGTAGATGGTTCGTCCACCAAGGACGGATCTGGTGCTGGCTTAGGGCAACCAAAAAGCATTGAACCTTAGCCGACTTCGAACGAACGA